CGCCTTAGACCTTAGAGAAGGCGCGCTCGATTTGCTTACCCAGTTGTCCAGGAATGATATTAATATTAATAAGTATTTCGTGCGCACGTTACACTTATTGTGTGGCCACGAAGTAGTATTTCGTGCGCACATTATACTTGTTGCATGGCCGCGAAATACTACTTCGTGGCCACAATTAAACATTTTTTTTGACCATGTCATCAGAGGGGCTCCGTATATATTAGTTTGAGGACAGAAAAATCCCCAAATCTCTTCGTCATTATAAAAACGGATCATAAAATCCCTTCAAAAAGCGATTAAACCAAAGAGAAATCAAGACACACTAAGCTAAAAAAAAATAAACATGAAGTTAAAAAAGCTTCATAGAAGTTTCATATTTCAGGACATAAACTTATCCAATTTTTGCTCAGAGCTCCACACTGTTGCTCTTATTTTGGTAGAATCATCTCAAAATAAGATTAATAATCTAACGGAATCTGCTCTCGCTTAGCGCATCAAATTAATAAATAGATTTTTAGACAGATTTATTTAGTAATTTTGTGTTCATAAACAAAAAGGAATTTAGGAATAACAACAGCTATCTAGACAATTTCATTTTTTTTAAGTGCAGCCTTAAAGATCAGTCAAAATTACATAAAAAGATTAATATAAACATATTAATGTATATTTACAGTTCTAACATTTCATTTTTTTGTGGTTTTTTTTTGTTTAATAATAAAATATACTAAATTACAATAAAATAACTCATTTTAGAAGATCAAAAACACTTTGGTTATAGATCTATGATTGATAGACTTGGTAAAATGGCACTTTTTGCAGTGCAGAGTTCAGAAACATCTTCATGTTGCATCATCAATTATTATTATTATTTTTTCACATCTTACTACAGCCATGAAAGCAGCAAAAAAAAAAAAAAATCCTCCATGAAGATCCAAACTTTGTTCTTAAAGCTTTAAACTCTAATCAGTATGTTCTCCCTGTGCATGGTTGGACTCCCCCCTGGTACTCCAGCTTCCTCCAATGCATGCTTTAATATATAGAGCAGCGGAGGAGTCAAAAGTATTAATATTTATTACTCCAGTAGAAATATAAATCCTACTGCTTTAAAAATACTTTTGTAGAAGTTAAAGGATCAACTTTTAACTCAAGTAAAAGTATAAAAGTTTTTAAAACTACTTCTATTATAAAAATCCAAGTAATGAAGGAGAAAATGTTAGGACAGATGCTTTAAACTTTATACTGTTACTGCGCAACTGTATTAGGTGCAAAATCACACAAATTTCTTTACTTTAAGGAAAAGTCGCTTATATTCAGAATATTAACTTCTAAAAGTTCTTTAAATGTGAAATTATAAAATACAGTTCAATAAATAAGTGTTTTTAATTCAGAGTAATTTTCGTGTGAATGTGCTTTACTGGAGGCATCCATGTTTGTCAAAGAACACTACTGCCACCTACTGGTTAGTGACGTCACGGCCTGTTTTCCAGTGTAGTCCTGTTTCTCTGACTGTGACTAACTGGATGTGCTCTCTTCATCCTCTGACATGGGAGCTGGCTCGGAGCTCGTCTGCCTGGCTGTGTGTTTCCTGGACGGGGCCGCCTGTGGAGCTGGTTGCCTTTTGTATCTATGCTTCTTTTTCTATGTCTGCTTCTGTCTCCTTGAACCCCAGTGGGCCTCAGCAGATGGCCGCTCACACTGAGCCTGGTTCTGCTGGAGGTTTCCTCCTGTTCAAAGGGAATTTTTCCTCTCCACTGTCGCTACAAGCATGCTTAGTGTGAGGGATTGCTGAAGAGTCAATGAAATCAACATAGAAAACTTGGAATCAATCTGACTGGATGATCTAGTGAACTGGAAAGTCACATGATGTGAATAGAAATAAACTGAATAGAATTGAATTGCACGCTTTCCCATTTCCCCGAAAAACTTACAACATAAATTACTTTAAAGGAGCTGGAAAAGCATTGTTAATGTTGTTTGAAGTTTTTACAGTAGTAGCAATAATTGATTCTTGTTTATCTGTTTTGAGGGAGCAGCGGTATGCCGGGAAATTTGTTAATCACAGTTGTTGTTTTGCAAGTAATAAATCTGTTAATGTTGATCATTTTGCCACCTGACTGTGAGGTTCAAACAAGTCTCAGCGTGTTTAATGAAGCAATCTGTATTCCTGCAGGTTCACCTCCAGCTGAGGAAAGAGCAAAACAAAAAGTGAGAGTTTGTGGGGAAAGAGAACGATGTGATGTGGAGGATGAGGAGCAGCTCTCAGCCCTTTAATCTGGGCTCCAAATCAGAGGTAAACACAGAATCCCAACAATCCTGGAGCGGATTCTGTCAGCAGGCGGGATTTAAACACATATCCAGCTCTGTGTTTGTTTTCAAGCCTGTAATGATCCTGGTCTTCTTTAAAAACTGAGCTCAGCAGAATTTGCTCTATTATCTCCTCAGATCCAAGTCATTATGTTCAGCTGCTGAGTCACAGACTCTTCCACACATCTGTATCTCCCTGCTGCACAAAGTCAAGTGCAACCTCTTCTGTTTTTCTTTTCAAATAAGTCGTTTCATCTGCTCTGCTGTGCAACACCTCCCTAATGCTCCCTGACAAGTCCGGACGCAGCTCAGATTGACACGCGCTGGATCTTTCCCTGGGTTGTCATGTTTTAAGGAGCTGCGTGAATCCGTCCCTCCCGGTTAATGACTGTCATACAAGTTGTTTTTGGGCTCGGTTCAAACATGGACACGCCCACGTCCTGCAGCCGCCACTCATGATGGAGGATCTGCTCCGACTGGCAGCAGAAGAAAAACGATCCGCCGCTGAGAGGTTCTAATCTGTTCGGGCCCATTTAGCAAACAAATCTGCGAAGGATTCTGCGCCGCGGGCGTTATCGTGACAGAACGCAGCAGCCTGCAGATTCTAAACATAATACTGAGGTCATCCCCCCCCACCCTGTAGATCTGCTATTTGTTTTCGGAGCAGTTTTGAAGACATGTCTGCAGGAGGAGGCCCGACAGACAACCAAGCTGCAAAACTCTTTTCCTCGCAGACGGAAATCTGCCGACGCATGCAGCAACGCCACAATGCAAACACTTCAATATTTACTTTTCCATCAAAGTTTAGAGTTTAAGCTCCGTTAAAACCCAATAAAGGTATGCAAAGGGTTTCTGAAATGTGCATCAGAGAGAATAGTATCCCAGGTTTCTGAGGTGTGTTGGAGCTATTCGCTCCCATCTCAGGTGAACGACAGCATTTCAGGTTTTTCTGTCAATGTTTTAAAACTATAAATCAACCGAATGCTGATCACTTCATGATTCTGTTATGTTTCCTGACATGTTGGCGATGTTATGGTCTGAATGTGAAGGAATCAAGGTGATTTAGTAGGTGTCTCGTCATGCCTTTTGTTTATTGGGATCAAGGGTGTGGAATTCCCTGCGTTCTGCTGAGTCAGGGCCGCTTTGGCTTCAATGTTCTGACCTCCAACTGGT